ATCCAGAGCCCCCAGAATTTCATGAAACCAGTCCAGAAAGAATTGATCATACTGAATTTGGAACAAATCCTCCTAATCCTAATTTTAAGCCAATTCCAGAATTAAAATCTGAAATCAAACCTATTGATAGTCTTTATAGTGGATTAGATGATGCAGAAATAAATACTGTAATAACAGAAAAATATTCTTTACTTTCAGAAAATGAAACAGAAGATAAAAGTACTTTATTAGAAGAAAAATCTCCGAAAAAAGATGAATTTTTAGCTCCAATGCCTGAACTTTCTAAATGGGAAAGAGATGAAACTACAGAAAAAACAGATGATGTGTGCGAATCTCCTATAGAAAAAATACAAATAGATGAACCTAAATCTACAAAAGTAGTTACATCAGAAGTATTAAAAAGAGCAGAAAATGCTATTTTTCAAAAAGCCATTAATGCTATTAGACCTATTGAAATTAAAAAGATAAGTGAAAGTAGGAAAATACTATATCAGAATCCAGAGCCTAAAGTACTTGAAGTTGAACCTAATAGAGAACCAAGAAAAAGCGTGAACGTTACTATAAATGTAGGAAGAAACGAAAGAAATGTTGAAATTACAGAACCAGTGAAAAAAGCTAAATTAGATCGAACAAAATTCAAACCTGTTCCAGAAACTTATTCACCTACAAGACTTTCTGCCAAAGAAAGATTAGGTGAAAAAGTGGATGAAAATAAAGAAAGAAAAATTAGTCCTATAAAAAGCTTTTTAGATAGACGCGAAACAAAGAGTGAAAATCAATCTAGAAGTCGATCTCCTAGAAATACGAGAGATAAAAGAATTTCTCCATTATTAGATAGACGAGTTGATTCATCATTATCTTTACCAGGAAGCGAACGTAAAGTATTTCTTGATGATAGAAAACGAGATAATAAAGATCGAGGTGATCGTTCAAAAGAAGAAATGATTTTAGAAATGAACGACATGATATAAGATCTGAAAGAGATCTAAGAATTGATTCTAGAGGAGATTTTAGATCAACCCGTAACGATTCTAAAGGGGAAAGAATAGATAAAGATAGAGAAAAAGATAGAGATAAAGAAAGAAGAGGAAGAACACCATCTTGTACATTTAAAAGAAATGATATTCCAAAGATAGGTCTTTTGAAGAATAGAGAAGAAGAAGATGATAGGCGTAGAGATAAAAAAACGAAAGAAGATAAAAAAAGAAAAAAAGAGCATCGAAGTAGAAGTAAATCCAAAGAACATAAGAAACGAAAAGAAAAAAAACATAAAAAAGATAAAGATAAAAATTTAGAGAAAAAACAAAAGCATAAAGAAAATATTGTTTTAAAAGACAAACCTGAAAATAATGAAACTAAAATAAATTATGAAAATCCTGAACCTCCTGTTACGGAACCTATAAAAAAACAAAGAAAGAATCCAAGACTTGTATCCGATCGTAAACGTAGTATGCTCGATGAAGCTAGTTTTGAACCTGATTATAGTGCTTCAGATTCAGAATCGGATGGTGAAGATGGTAAAGTAATTTCATTGCCTGCTAAGAAACTTAAACTTGATGAACCAGATATGGAAAAAGAAATGGACATTAAATCTCTTAAAAAACGATCAAAATCTACAAGTAGTGAAGATTCATCTAGTAGCACAGATACTTCAACTTCTGATTCTGATAGTTCTGATGAATCACACAAGAAAAAAAAGAAGAAACATAAAAAACATAAGAAAAAGAAATCTATAAAAAAAGAGAGTAGTTCTGATTCAGATTCATATTCAGATTCGTCAGAAACAAGTACTGATGAAGAAAAGCATAAAAAGAAATCAAAAAAATCAAAGAGTAGGAACAAACAAACAAAAAAAAGAAAAAATCAAAGCACAAATGACATCATTAGATGTCTTTAATATTTTAAATTCTGACAGTAATTTTTCTTTATGAATGCTTTTTAATGTAAGATCCTCTGCCAGAATTATTTACAATTATATACATAAAATTGAAATTGTTATCTGATATCTAAGAAATGATGTAGATGTTTTATTCTATATTTATAATATTATATCAGTGTTCAAAATTAATTTGAACATATTAAATTTGAACTAATTCATTACTTATTATTAATAGTTAATAATTTTTGAAGATTGAAAAATTTAATAAAATAAGGAATGGGTAACTAAGTACGACATTTAACTTGTATTTAATTTTGAAAATTATTAAGGCCTTTACATAATTGTCCATATTCTAATTACACCTCTCAAATGCTGTAAGTAAATTCATTACAATAACTGATGTACATTATAGCATTCAGTAGATAATATCTTTAAGGGAATCCAATACAATACTTTTAGAGAACAGCAATTATATTTAAGATCTCCAATATCTCTGCATTATATTGTACTTTCATAATCTAATGTCAATATGTAAAAGACGTCATGAAATAAAAAGACGAAATTCTTTTAATTCATTCTTGTTTTCGTTTTACAAAATATTAGAAATGATATAATAAAACTATACATATTCTATAAAATTTTTAAAAAGAAAATTTAAATAAATCACTTAAATTTTAATTTAATCATAAAATTTGAGTTTGAAAACATATATTTTTTTTTGTTTATTCACAATATGTGTGTTTAGTACTTAGTCTTAAATTTTTATTCATATTATACCAATATATAATTTCATATATTTATGTACTTTTTAAATTCTTAAATGTTTCTATAATATTACACAGCAATGGTAATTTTGTACTATTCTCACTTTCCTTTAGTCCTAAACTTTGCAAAAGCAAAGACCTATCAAGAGGTTGCTTTGATAAGTCACATTCTAAAATAAAGATTATTTTTAAGTACATAATTTTGTAAAAAAATTAATTTCTGTAATATATTATATTGCATATAAAGTACATTATTAAATACCTGAAATAAATACAGTAGAGCTGTACTTATATCCCATCCAATCTAAATATTCTCTGATAAGTTCATTTAAAAATATAATATCTAGAGGTGGCTTTGGAAGCTTTGTTTTATTTCCTTTATTTGAATTATCTAATAATTTTATAACTTCTGTGCGCATTTCAGCTTTTATACGACCTAGATCTCCATCAGCTTTAAGTGATTCTCTGACTGCTGAAATAAATTTAGAAACAAATTTACTAATTAAAGAAAATTTAATATAAGTATAATTAGATGAAATTAAAATTCTAAAATATAAATATTTTTTGATTTTAATACTTATTTTTCTATTCCAGAAAATAAAACAATATTTATTATAATAACATTTGTTATTCCCAAATTCATTTCTTTAATAATAAGAATTATACAATTAATTATAATATTACTTATTAATTTTTGTTATGTAAATAACATTCACAGTTGGAAAAGAAATTGAATAATATAAAAAAACTATATAAGTTACTTATATAAATTTTATATTATATTAATAGGAAATACTATATGTATATAATAAAAATTAATTAAAAACAATTTATAGATTAATTATATATAATAAAATATTTTTTAATTAAATATTATGAATATTTTATATTCATTTTCAATTTTAATAAATACCATTAATTAAATCCTTCTCCGTTGCCATTTTATCATTACATTTATAAACAAAGAAAGAAAGAATTTTGAAATAATATATATAGATATTATTAATGATTTAAATTTTTGTCCATTGATAATAGTGTATGATATATAATTCAAAGCTATTTTCAAGTATATATGTTGACTTCATATAGAAATGCAATATTTCAAAATAAAATTTTTTATTTTATCATAAAATAAAATAAAATATTTAAAATTTTATTTTTCAATATAATATAATCAAATTAAATTAAAATTTTTATTAATTGAATTAATATCTTAAGATAATTAATTATTTCTATTACAATAAAATATGTACTTTATAAAACAATTAGCAATTAATATAATTATAATTCTTATTTCAAATGTCAAAAATTTTAATTTCTATAAAACAATATAATTTAATTATAAAGAAGAAAAAAATATTGATATTTCTAAACTATAATTTAAATTAAAATATAAAAATTTATTGTATTTTATTTATGGATATATATATATATATATTTCTTATTATATTTTAATTTATGATTATTTTTTATATACTAGTAATTTATTGTAATTGATGTTCATGTTAGTAAATTTTTGAACAAACCTTAATTTAGGAGCCTCATGGCCTATTTTATCCCCCTTCTGTTTCCCAGTTCTCTACCGTCGTCTTTATTCGTCCTTGCTAAAGTAACGTCTTTCTGCTAGTTTGACGTTCATTAGATAAGCAAGTTTGTTTCGTACGGTTTTGGTTTATTCTAACTATCAAATTACTTGACATTATAATTTATTTTTTCATCTGTATGCCTTGCGTACGTTTTCATCTTTTAAAATTTTCCATGAGTAAGTTATTTATTGATTTGGCACAATACTTTATAACGTCAATATCCATGATTACTTACATATGAAAATCAGTATAAAATGTATTTATTTGAAATTAGTATTTTTTTTATAAATATTTAAGAAATATTAATAAATAAATTTTTCCAATTTTATTACTATAAATAATAGCAAAATTTATATATTTTTTTATTTAATTTGATTTTTAATTGGTTTATTATTTTAGTTATTACAAGAATTGGACATATTTTTTTCAATATTTTTTAATTCTGTTTTAATATAATAATTAATATATAATTAATAATATAAAATATTTAGTTAATGCATATTTATATTACAGATGTTTCTATAGTCTTCCTACAATTGTTGGTAATGCAAATACTTTTCTTTATTTCAATGTCCACAAGATGGTATTTGTCTTCAAGTTTTAATTTTAGCTGAGAATAGAAATGTGAACAATGACAAGATATTTACAAGTGACATTTAATATTCAATTTAACATCTCTTATGAATAAGTATGAATTATAATTAATTTAAATTATATTCATATAATATGGAATTTTAATTAAATTGAATTTGAATTATTTTGATATTACAGAGTAAGACGAAATTGATTTATCTTGGTGGTGATGCGGGGATGTGGATCTGTTTTGATCCTATAGGAAGCCGAGAAGGCTGGCGTGCTTTTATTTTATTTTGCATATTTCTTTGTTGGACTTCTTTTGGTATTGATGGCAGTTTAACAATGCAGCTGCATTTAATGTCCCTCATAATACTGTTACATCAGATATATCACTACCACTTTCAACACATCATGAAGATGACGAATGTAGGAATGTGACTACTGATAAAGCTAGTATGTATTACATGATTATATTATATAAAATATATATATAATTGCAATAATATAGTCATTTTTATATTTTTATAAATATATTTAATAAATTTTTTCTTTATGTAATGAAATATGAAAATAAAAATATGAAATATTTTTATTATAAATTTTTTGAAATAATTTTAAATATAAGAGATAATATATTTAACATTTTATTCTTAAAAATATTATTACTAAATTATTTTATTTAATTTAATTAATTTTATTGAATATTTGAAAAAAAAAAATACTTCACAGCTACTGGTCTATCAGTGATCAATCAAGGATCTGGTTCTCCTCATTCGCCAATAGTGCCTCCAACTTTTCTGTACGGAGTTCTTACCTGCCAACCATATCAAGGAATTTCTGTGAACCACATCTATTTTCAACTAGCAAATGCCTTCTTTCTATTGTCACACCTTGCACCAAGTGGCATACATGGCGTACTTTATTTAAGGTGCACTCTGCTCGTGGGCTGTGCCTTTCTTGCTTTGTGGGGCTGGACAATAGCTTGTTGGCTGGATGCTGCTCTGTGGAATGCTCTGTTTGTTGCCATCAACTTCGTCCATGTATGCACGCTTCTTTACAAGCTCAGGCCTATCAAGTTTTCAAGGGAAATTGAAGAGGTAAGCTAAGAGAATTAAAAGGATTGATAATTTAATTTAATCATAGAATATTTTTTGTATATACATTCGTGCGTACATGCATGCGCACATATGTGTAATACATTTGAAACATAATATTTGAATTTATTATAAAAATATTAAATGTATGAATAAAATATACATATATTTAAGAAACATTTAATATATATTTAAAACAAACAAAAATAATTATATCTTATTATCAAATATATAAATAAAAAATATAAGTTTCCATTGTTTTCTATAAATGATTATTTCCAAAAATTATATAAATTAATATAATTAATATTGTATAATAGAAATATATTCTTGTAAGTATTATTTAAGTAAAGTATCTGCTCATTTTTACATCAATTTTTACATATTTAGATCTAGAAAAATATTAATCATAGTTTTGTTTTTCTATTTTTTTTACAATATATATTATTTTTTCTAAGTGATATAATATTTTTGTTTTAGCTATCATAGATAGATATGTATATTAGAATCTTTATTATAGTGAATTGCTTGTACGTATGCTTGGCTATAGCATTCGCATTAGATTAAAAAATAATAGTAATTTTTCTTTTTGCACTTTTATATATTTAACTTATATATTTAAATAATTTAATTTTGTTATAACATCAAATTTATGTATATAATATGACATAATATAATGTTTTTGTGATAATTATAATTTAATATAATATAATTTAACATTAATAATAATTTAATATGTATATTTAATAAAATATTATATATTTTTTAAATTAATATTTAACTTATCATTTGATTCATTAAAAATATAATAAAAACAATTTGATTATATTATTTTAATTTAATTAATTTAATTAATTTTAATTTATTTTAATTTAATTTTATTAAAAAAGTTATTAAAAAAATAATATATAAAATATTTGTTTATAAAATAAGTGTATTCTTTTATTTGTTATATTACTTTTGCAATTAATAATAAAATTATATAAATTTCATATTTCATTTTTTTCACACAGGTATATATCGCAGTATTCCAGCCATTGAGAGTATCACGTCACCAATTCAGAAAAGTATTAAATTGTATGAAGATTATTCGACAATTGAAATATCAAGAAGTTTATGCCCAAGAAAAAGTGACCAAAGTTGATTCTTTATCTTTAGTACTTTCTGGAAAGTAAGTTCATATTATAAATAACTATTTATCTTTATATTTTATATTTAGTTTATTTAAATTATAATTATATTATTTTTTAAACTTAAACTTACCGAAGTAAGCTTATACAAATATTTATATAAATAATATAAATAATTTAAACAAACTTTATTGTTGTTTTTTAAAAAATAAAATATGGAATAAGCAGTGAGTGTTTATTCCAATGAATGTTTTCTATAAACAGTAACAAATTAATTTAATTAATTTAAAAAATATATAATATACAATATATTATATATTCAGAAATTTTAATAAAATTGATATTGTTTTACATTAAAATAAATATTTTTTAAATTAAATAAAAAATAAATAGTAAAAATAAAGAAATATTAAAGTTTAAAAAAGTATAATAAGTGATATATATAAACTGCAATACAAATTTTAATAAATAATACTCTTAATTTAAAAATGAAAAATAGTAAAAAATCTAAGTTTTTTAAATAAGTTCTTTTAATATATTCCTTTAGGTTAGTAGTTTCGCAAAATGGAAGAGCATTGCACATTGTCTTCCCACATCAGTTCCTGGATTCTCCAGAATGGTTTGGTGTCTCTACAGACGAGTACTTTCAGGTTTATACACTTTTTTGGATTTTATCTATAAAAAAAAATTGAAAATAATTTGATCATGGAAAATTAAATTAAAAAATTAAAAAAAATTTTTAATAAGATTTTATTTTCAAAAAGTTTAATGAAAATTATTTGAGATACTTGGATATCCAAACAAATTTCTTATCAAATACTGGATTATAATAAAAAATTACGTATATTCGAAACACACACACATTCTCTCTCTCTCTCTCTCTCTCAAATTTGTTCCAGGAACGAGATTCTTAGTTATTTCATTAATATTATGAAATAATAAAATATTTTGTTAATTTTTGACTTTTGAGGTATTTTGTGGGCATTCTTTTATAGATATACAAGTGTGTATTTTAAGTATTTTATTTGAATATAATTTTAAATACTTTAATCTAAATCTAAATATTCTACTTTAATTTTTTTTTATTTCACTTTAACTTATTTTTATCTTAACTAGAGATAAATTTTATTTGATAAAGATTGATATAGATAGATAATTATTAATAGATTTGATAATTTTAAATAAAATAATTATGTTCAACTACAAATATAATAAAGATATTAATCTGTTTCATATATATGCAAGATATTTATTTTATCTAAATATAATAAAATATCTTTTATGAAAAAAATATATTTATGAAAGTTGTTTTATATAATTATGATTTTATTTAAAAAAACTCACTAAAGTCACTTTCATGATTTGCACATCTATTTATTAAAATCTATTAATATTACATAGTGTATCTTAATGCTTTATATCAAATAATTTTTGTAAGAATTTTGTTTTTTTTATAACATTCTTTCATTAAAAGATATTTCATATTTAAATAAAATATATTGTATATTTTATTATTATGCTATATATAATGCAATTTATTTGATTATCTATAATTTAATCTTTTTGATATAAAATTAGAAGTATATAAGGTAAGATATTTGTAGTTTGTATTTGTAGTTGATAAGCCTCTATATATCACAGGAAATTTTATATATCATATAAAAAAAAAATCAATGAATTTAATTTCGTTTTAGTGACATAATTAATTGATAATATGATAGATTTATATCATTTTATTCCAAGATTTGGAAAACTTTGAATGTATATATATGTATATATATTGCAATTCATGATAAAAATGTACATATGGACATTTTAATAATCAATTTTTGGATCATGTAAAATAAAGTTAAAAGTACAAAATTTTTCAGAAAAATTAAATAAATTTTTACATGTTAAATCTTATTTCTTTATTTTTAATTAAAAAATTAAAAAATATGAAAATATAATTGTATTATTATTAATGATCATATATTATAGAGACATAATAATTATTTTAATATTTATTTTATTATTTTTGTTATAATTAAATTTATTATCATTGTATATCATATATTTATTGATATTTTATTATTTTAATTTGTTTTTCTCAGAAATAAAATTTCATATGAGAAAAATTTATAAAATATTATATATTTTTCTTATAACATAATGATAAATTATAATTAATAGTTTTAAAGTAATTATTCTTTGAATAGGTATCAATAACTGCTATGGAAGAATCAAGGATATTATTATGGCATAGAGACAAGTTAAAATTAAGCATAATTAGTGATCAATTTCTGCAGGCAGTGTTTGATCACATTTTGGGAAGGGATGTAGTCAAAAAATTGATGCAGGTATGTTTACATTAAAAAATAATATAAATTTCTTTTTCTAAAATAATAGTACTTATCAATGAATATGATATTATATTTTTGATATGATATAATATATAGGATTATGTTTACAATACAATCAAATAGAAATTTCTTATGAGAATTAAAGTTATCAAAAAAATGTTTTAACAAAAGTTGTTGTTTTTTGTAGTTCAAAAGAAAATATTATACTGTGTAAATAATTTTTTATAGATCAAATAACAGAGATTTCAAAATTAATTTTATTTTTTTAAATTAAATTATATAATTTTGCATTAATTTATTTATGATTAGTTCTATTTCTTTAGAACAACTTTTGTAAACAGATATATAAAAATAAAAAGCATGCATTTTTTTATTAGCCGTTATATTATCAGTTAATTGAAGACAAAATATAATATATATATTATAATATAATATATAATATATATAATCTATATAATAATATATAATATATATATAATATAATATATAAATGATGTAGACGAGATCATATTAATTATTCAAATTGAATCAAAAAAAAAAAATAATAAATAAAATTAAAATTTTTTTATTATTTAAAAAAACTCAAAATAAAATTGTATATTAAATATGATATGAATTGTATAATAAATTTGAAAGAATATATTATATTATATATATATATATATATTATATATTGAATTAATATAATTTAATAAATCATTTTGGATTTATAAGACAGATAAAAATTTAGATAGAAAAATTATTTATATAATTTATTGATATAAATAAATAAAATATTATTTTAATGATTAAATGATAATAATAGTTGTATATAAAACACATATATTATGTATAATTGATAATACTATATATGTATATTTAAAAATATTTTTTACTTAATAGTATACATATTATTGCTATAAATATAACATAATGAATTAAAAAATTAAATTTTATATATTGATCTTTGCATTCAGCAAACTTAAATTTCTAAAATCAAAATTATTTCAAGACCATAATATATTATGAAATACAATAACATAACATTTTGATTGATCGTAACATTTTTAAATTATGATTATTTAAACATTTAAAGATTGCTAATTTTGAAATTTATAAAATAAAAGAATCTTGAAAAAATATATATATATTTTTTTTTTTTTACTTATTAGTTTAAATAGTATAATTTTATTCTAAGAATTTTTTTTAATGAAATAAAGATATATATTCTATTTCTTATGCTATTCTGTTTTTTTGACATTATATATATATTTAGATATGTTTAATTGTATAAAGAATTTACTTATTTGTACATAATTATTTTGATAGGTTAGTGAAACAATGGCTGCTAGCAGTCATCAACAGCAAAATGGACAAGTAATTGGTTTAGGTGGTATTGGAGCCTTAGAAAATGATCCTGACACCAAACTTTTTGTTGTGAAAAAGACTGGTGATAGTCAAGGTATTACTGCCCTCATCAGTCGTCAACTTCAAGGTAAGTCTTTTTTATTATTGCATTTGTAGACAACAAAACAATTATTTTTTTTATTATATATAAATTCATATATATCAAAAAACAACACATCTAAATAACAATTAATTATTAATTTTTTAAATATAAATCAATATTAAAGGAAGTTTTCATTTTCATTTTTATAATAATGTAACTTCTAATAATATATTGAATATTAATATATTCATAGGATATTTCTAAAGAATTAATTCTAGAAATTAAAACAAATGCCAAAGTTGATATGTAAAAATATTGGTTTATTTATTAAGTTATTAGCAATTTAAGTTTAGATGAAGTAAGAGAGAAACAATGACATGGTAACATAATAGAAATAGGGATGTTTTATTTTATCCATTTTGTTTTATTTAAAATAAATAATTTCAATTGTTTATAATTTAATAAAGAAACCATAATTAATATTTTTGGTATATCAACTTTTATATTTATTTTAACATTTATTGAGCTTCTAAAGATTCATGAATAAATTAATAATTTTAAAATTAAAATATTTTTAAAATTATTGATTATATCGAAAAATATTTCAGATAAAAGTTTAATAATTTTGGAGATGATATTTGATATATTTAAAATTTTATATATATATATTTTATTTATATATTAATGCAGAAGAACATTCAAAAATTTATATTCCATATATTTTTAATCATGGAATCATAATTTTTAATGTACTAATCAATATAATTGTTATATTGTTATATTGTCTTTATAAAAAAAAACTATTAGATCATTTATAAAAATTAAGCAATCTAATTATAAAAATTAAATTTAATAAAAAAGCTTTTATTAAGTGAGAAAATATTTTATAAAATTATATATTTAATAAAAAAAGCATGAACAGAAGAATATTTGTTTGTTCTTTATCTTTCATATAATAAGCTTTGCAAAATTCAAATTAAAACATTTAAATAATAATAATAGTAATAATTTTTTATTAAAATGACTTAATAGTTTTTTACAAACAATAATAATCTGAATTGATTAATATATTAAAAATGATTCCATTTAAAAATATAAAGTTAAAGTATGATTTTTTGGAATAATGAGAAAGGTATCTGATGGCTTGAAAGCTTATATTATAAGAATTATAATAGTTGTGATCTGGATTGCAAATTCATAATATTTTAAGATATTAACAAAAATTATTACTATTGTCACATTGAATTTTGCATATATGTATATGCATCTATGATAGCATGTTTATTATTTCTATAAATTATGGTCGATACTTAAAATAATAATATAAAATATAATGAAATTATTAGTTAATATCAATAAGTAAATATAATTCAGTATCTATCCAATATTCCACGATGCAGGAGATCTACAAGAGATTTAAAGAATGCAAAAATAAAATATAAAACATTTATATGATTGAAATTATAATGATCGATGTAATACTAATATGTAATATGAAGTTGATATAATCAATGTAGCTTGTATTGATATTAAATATCCTAATTTAATTTACCCGTTATAAATTTTAATTGCCATCACGATATTTACAAAAAATAATAGATAAGCTGCAATATTGATAATATATTGACGTATATGTTATATATTCAATATGATTACTAATTTTGTTAATCAATCTATCTAAAACTATAAATTTGTAGCAATTATCATAATTCTATAATATAAGTTTGCAATTATGATTCTAATTAGATATTTGAAACTAAAATAGAACTAAAAATTTTTGAATGTTCTTTATGTAACAATTACATAAAATTTTAAATATATCAAAAAATAACTCTTTCAAAAATATTTTAGCTTTTGCTTAAATCTTTAATATCTTAGATTATTAGTCCTATATCTATATCAATATATATATAATAGTAAACATATTCTTTGGAAAGATACTAATTTGAAATTTTGTGATTAATTTGAAATTTGAAGAAGAAAACATATAAAATTTTAATTTTGGTTATTTATTGTTTTCAAGATATTAATGAAAATTTTTGAGTATATATTAAATTCTGCTTATACATATATGTTCATAATAATAATAAATTAATATATAAATATTGCTTATCTACTGTTTTCTATAAATTTTTTCTATACATTATTATTATACATATTAATTTTATTAAAAATTATTTTATTTAAAAATATTTAGTATCTATGTACTATCTGAGTACTATCATTATAATTTCAATTGCTTAAGAGTTTTATATGATATTTTCACATTCTGTTAATATTCGAATTCCGAAGAATTTATGGAATATTCAATTCATATTGCAGACATATTGATATATATGATTATTACATGAAAATATTTTGATGTCCAAAAATTGTTCGAATAGACAGCATTCAATGTGTTAGTAATATAGGCAGTATATTTGATATATAATTTATCAAAAGATTTTTATTAATATTTTATAAATTAATAAATAAAACCGAATTTTAAATTTTATATTTTGTTCCTTTCTTATCAATCTCTTAAATTTCAAATCAAATTGATTGTACATAAATTTCAAAAATAATCATCAAAACTATAATATGAAATATATACATATTTACAATATATACATATTTATATTAATATTTAAATTTTCTCATTATTTTATTTATAAACTGTATTTATTATATTCAGTGATTTATTAATTTAAAGATTTTTATAAAAAATTTGCAATTAATTTATGCATAAGTAATGTAATGACATATGTGCATTAACAGACATATATATATGGATAGTATATATACATGGTATATGGTATATATGGTATATACATGTAAGATGTATATATATCTTTAAAATGTGTTATTAAGGATATAATATTCCTATAACTTTTTTTTTTAAAGAATTCTGTAAAATTAATAAAAATATGAATTTTATATACTTATGTACTTATGTATCATCCTTAATGATATCATTTTAAAAGTACATGGTAGTTTTAATTTGAATATTATTATGCAATTTAATAAAAGATTTTTATGCATTACAAAATATCGTTTCAAACAAAAATTTTATAGAAATTTAATTAAAATTCTTTTATCTGATATTATAATGTTAATATGTCATTATATAAATATTAATATTATTATTATCTTAAAGATTATATTATATTTCAAGAGAAAAATGAATAATGTTATTGATAAGTTTGATAAATTTTGAATAAGAAAAAAAACATTTATACTATAAATCTTTAATACTTGTTATTGATTTATGTATTTAAAAAATAGATCTTACAAGTATATATATATTTAAAATGGAAAAATAATTATTTTTTTATTTATTTTTCAACTTTATTTTAAAAAAAATATTCAAAGTGATTTTTTTTTATAAAAATAATTACTAATTTATTTAAATTTATTATTACAGTTTTCATAATTATTACCATTGCATTTGAAAAATTTAATTTCTAATGCTACTTATGTTGCATTCATATGTTGTAATCACACAAATAATGAGCACAGAAAGTTATAAAAAATTAATAGAAAATAATTTATCTTTATAATTAATATTGGTATAAGTATTGTCTTTAATAATAAAAAGAATATGATGCTAATATAGTGAAATATTATATTTCAGAAAAAATGTTATCACTTTTTTTAAATATATATACTATAATTAAAAATATATAATACTATAATTAAAAATTATAGTCACCAAATTTTTTTCTAATAAATTAATGAAATAATAAATGAACCAAGACTTGAAATGATTTATCAAACATATAAAATTTATTAGATTTTTTTATGTGATTCTGTATAATTAATTCTGTATAATTAATTTCATATATAATTTAGAATAAATCCAAATACACTGCGTAAATTATATTATATAATTTATATTGTATTAAATAATATTTACAATAGGTTTAAGTATAATGCATAATTATATTAATGCATAATTATATTAATTCCATTATTAATAATACATATAATTATATTAATAATCTAATATTCCAAATCTAATCACTAATTTTTAATTTTAAATATAAATATATATTTATAAATATTAGAAAAAATTAAGATTTTATAAAGAATTTGTTTTTTGTAAATAAATTTTATTTTTGAATATTTAATTAAATATATTATCATTAATTATATTGGATAAATATTTTTCAAAATTAAAAATAAATTTAAAAATATTTTTTATATTCTTATTATTTGATCTTGTTTTTTTTGTATTTTAAAATTTTTTTTTGTAATTTAAAATTTTTTATAAAATAAAATATAAAATTTATAGATTTATAAATTATAATAATTAAGAATATTCAATTTAAATATGAAACGATATTTTGTATGTAGTAATTGTAATATAGTTATTTTCATGTATAATACTTTTTATTTTTTTTTACATTTAGGCATGAGCATGAATTATATGTAATAATATAATTTTATAAATGCAGATTTCAGAATTTATCATAAATGATACAATTTCGAAATATTTTTATAGTGATAACAAGATGTTTCATTAATTTTCAGCATTTTCTCGCTCTATTATAAAAAAAATATAGGCAGATACACTTAAAAATAATTCGTGATATCGTCATTTCATGTAAATTATTATAAAAAATTTTAATGTTCGAGTTTTCGCATGGAAGATAATAAAAGTTCAGTTTTGAAGAAAGAAAATTTATTCTTTTCTAAAACTTACGATTTGCGAAGAAAAAACTGAACAACGTGAATATATATTGCAATAGATTCTCTTTTATTTTTAACTTTAATCGATTTTTTTATCATGTAAAATGATGTACATGATATAATAATTTTTTATGGGAAAATATAAAAAATTGATTCATGGAAATTCGATATTAGATTAGTAAAATAAATAAGTAGTCAGATAGTATTTATAATAAATAAAATAAAAATAAATATATATACATATAATATACATAAAATCTAGATATAATATATATATAAATATATAGATAGAATGTAATATTATTAATATAATATAATATTAACATATAATAATAAGTAAATAATAATTGCTACAAAATCATGATTTTTTTTACATTTATTGATTAAAATGAAGACTAAACAAGAAAGAAGCTATAATTATTTTTGTTTGTTGATTAATTAATATTGAAACAAACTGAGTTAGCTAAAAATAAAAATAATACTGTTTCCCATATAATAAAAAAAATTATAGGATTATATATAAAAATATATAATAATATATATATATATATAATTATATATAGGATTATATATAAAAAAATTTGGTTATTTTAAAAATTTATTTAAAAAGACATATATAAAAAAATCAAATGTTATCACTTTAAACTTTCTTTGAAATTATATCATCTATAATGGAATAGGATTTTAATTCATTTACTAATATTGAAAATAATTGAGATGATTCATTTTATATATGAAAAATAAGTTTTTGCATGATAATTGATGCATGTATTTGCTAAAGTAATAATATTAACAATGTAGATTCATAAATTTACTAGAACATGCAATATACACTTTTTATAATTTTGCATCAATTTTGATTTTGCTTTGGATAGAAGAGAGAATGCCGCTGCTGTACACGACTCAAGAAGTGTTGAACAACACTTTGCATCATATTAATCACCTACGTACACTTCCTTTACATCCTGTACAACACAGCAATGTTCAGTCTTCCTTATAATATTCTTGTGACACAAACTGTGCAGTAATTAGCACAAATTTGTACGTGATATATGTTATGTTTCTGCAATGGATATCCATAGTTATACAAATATCATCGGGTAACTTCATTTATTTTCTTCTGGTTATTATATTCAGGTGAGTTATTTTTGTGTCTATGTTTTCCTTACTTCATTTAATTTAATAGTATTAATTGTATTGTTATAAAATTACTATTAGATTTGATAAAATAAAATAATTTATTTAATGCCATGTTTAATATAAGTTTTTTTTTAAAAGTTTATGTAAATTTACCTAAAATTATAATATGCAATTTTTCAGTATTATATAAAGTCTCTGTAATTATTGTATAATCGGATAAGAGATAATTATGAAAAATTAATTCAAAAGTACAGAATAAAATTTTTTCATATAAAAAATTCGTTTTTAAAAAAAACTTTGAAAATCAATCTAATAAGTAGTATATTAATTCTTTCAATTTGCTAAAAAGTTTGCTTTTTCTATTTATATTTGTATTTGTATAAATATAGTAATATTATTAATTGCTCTTTATCATTACTATAATAATAAATATAGATAAATTATTATTTGTAATAATGTAAAATAAAATTAAAATATAAAATAATATTATATAATATTATAAAATAATACAAACAGAAATTTGAAATTTGCACTTAGTAATATATATTGAATCAAGTTTCAAAGTTTTTTCGAAAACAAAGAAATATATAAGGAAAAGTTTTTTTTATTCTTTTGACTTATTTTTTCATTAAAAATTTTATATTAGAGACACTTTGTATATTATTATAAATATGATATAAATTTTCAATTTATGAAATCTAAAGAAAAAAATTTATTTTGGTATTAATATGTTATATATAATTATTTATTTTATAATGTTATATATAATTATTTATTTTCTTGTAATGATAATGATATATTTAAAATTATGATTTCTTAACTATTTTGTTCAAGATTTAATTTAATTTTTTTTATATATATATTTTTTATTTATTCATATTTAAATAAGTTTGAGTTTTATCTTGAAAATATATTGTATTGTAATTGTTCATAAGCACATTTTACACATATACATAGAATATATATACTATATATGCACATATCTTTAATATTTTCTTTAAATAAAATAAGAATATCTTACAAGGAAAGTTAAAATTATCAAAAAAAATGTTTTAAAAAGAGTTATTTGATTCGAAAAAAACATCATACAATTCAAATTATTTTTTTTAAATTGAAGAGAATTTTAGATCAACTTCATTTTTTTGATTTTTTTCATTTTTAATAGAATCATATAATTTGAATCCATTATTCGATTTATTTAAAAAAAATATTAATCTATTTAATGTTGAAAAACCCTTGATTTAATAGATATTTCAATTAAAAAATTCAGGAGTGAAAAGAATAATTGATAATTCTTCATAATTTATAGATAATAAATAAAAATAAAACATTTTCTTTATTAAACGTCGTTTCTAGTTAAATAAAACACTTAATATACAGTAGCCAGTAATATACAGTATATTATACACTAATTTTAAGTGATATTAAACAAGATCATTCAATAAGGAAAATGTATATATTTCATTTTTGTAACTGTTGATTGTTTTAATTTAACTAAGATTGTTTTAATAAAATAAAAATCACAGGCGATTGTTATCTTTTCATCTCTCAAATTCTAATAGTATAGAACCACAATATTTAAATTAAAATCTAATTTTCAACATAAATAGATTAATATTTTTTTATAAGAAATACTTAAATAGATTGATTAATGCAATTAAAATTATGTAGTTCTATTTAAAAAAAATGAAATTTTGATATCTCTTTTATTTGATCTATAAAAAAATTATTTCACTTTAAATTAATTAATAATTAATTTTGAATTAAGTTTTGTTAAACCATTTTTTTGTTAATTTCTCTTGAGATATTCAATCATATTCAACTAAATGATACACTTTATATATATTGATATATATTAATACATAATAATATGTAATAATGTAATATATTAATTTATATTTTAAATATTTAATTATGTAAGTGTATTATTATTTCCAAATAATAAAAAATATTGTTATTCCAAACAATAAAAAATTTATGTTTATTGCAGCAGCAGGAGATCCAAATGCATGGAGATTGGGAAGAATTGAAGAGACTGATCATGAAACACCTGTTTAATGAAATGAAAACTAGATGAATGTCATCCTCGACAGTCAATATAAACTAACACCAGTCTTTTTATATAACATAAAATAATGATGAAATATTTTCATCATTGGAAGATATAGTATGGTGTGCGTGGAACAATTAAACATTCTCTTGCCAATTAATAATTTTTCCCACTAGTCAAGTATGATTAACAATGGAAAAATTTCATTGTTTATAGAATAATGGTTCCATCCTAGTTTATATAAAGTGATATGACTATAAACATTACTTTATGCTTCCAATATATTATTGAATACTATTAAAACTAATTTAAATATGGCTGTTTATAATTCACACTGATTTTTTTTAACATGCATATGTTTAGTATTGATCAAGTAAGACTTTACATGTGTAATAAAATGGAGGTTGTTCAATCGCAGCGGCGTAACTTCTTTAATGAGAAATCTGTGATTTATTGGAAGTGGTAAAGAAAAAAATTAGGAAGGCCTAAATACTTGATTGTTTCCCATACCCAAATATAGTGCCTTTTTACTTGCATTTCATTTATTAATTTTAAAAAAAAAAATTTATATATTACAATTATATACTAATTTATAAACTTATTCAATATCTTTTAAGAAAATTGCTGGTAGAAATCTAAATATTTTAGTACAATTACGATTTTTCATATTTTCTAAAATGGGACCATTTTCAATTAATCTTTATTTAAAAATTAATAGCAAAATAAACTTTGTTATATGTAATTGTATATATCTTAAATTAAATTATTATGTTACTTTCAAAAAATACTTATTTGAATTACAATGTATAAGAATTAATATAATTTTTACAAGTTTGATTATGATTTATTAATGATTGTCAGTGATATAGCTGCATTATTTTTATTAATAAATTTTAATATAATTATTATTATTGCTATATTAGATTTTTACAATAATTACTAATTAAAAAATTTTTCAACTTTGAATTATTTAATTATAATTTTTATTTTTGATTTAAATATTTGATTTATATAAATAAATTAATAAATATTTTATACATTAATATATAATATATAAAATATATGATACATATATATATATATATCAATTTACTGTTAGATTGAATATCATAATTTGTTTATATAATTTTACTTATAAACAAAGATTAATATAATATAATTAATATTCATAAATATATCAATATTCATAATTATTTTTAAAAATTATATACTCTCTTCATTTAGAATACTTTACTTGACAATGAATTTTTTAATTGGTTTTTTTTTCTTTTGTAAAGAAATTGTTTTGTAAAGAAATATTTCTATTTATTTTTACATGATTATAATTATAATGAGTATGATTATAGAAATATTACTATTAAATTTTTGTTCTTATTGCTTGATTTTATTACATTTTATTAAAATGATTGAAATCTTGTTTACTTTTTTTATTTTACATCATATTTGTTATTTCATTTCTACCAGCAATTGATTATTTTTGCTATCAAAACTATTATTAAATAGTTTTGAAGGATTATGGCATGAATCATATCATAACATCACTAGATAATGGCGTTCAGAATAGAGAAGCAGGAAGTTACGCCAGAAAGCGCTGGATGATAATACAATTAACATGAACTATATTATTGAAATAATATTTATATTGATATACATTGTCGATAGAAAAATAAATGCATATAACTTTTAATGTTTAATATCATAAAATTATCAAAAATTGTTACAATAATATTATAATCACAATTACTATTTTTTTATTTAAAAAAAAAAAGATTAATTTTACTTATAATTTATAATTTATAATTATAATTAAAATCAATTATTGGAATGAACAAAAAAAATTAATACGCACAGAGAAATAAAAAACATATTAATATAATTAATTACAATTATTTTGAAGAAAAATAGTGAAAGTGTGTTATGTACCGAAATTCAAAGTAAAAATCTCAGGTTTTGATGATTGGATACAATTTTAAGCAAATAAATAAACAAGGAATAAAGAAAATCTTTAAAGACAACTTTGTCCAGTCTAGTAAAATGCATTATAGAATTAAAAATGTTACTAATTGAATTTATGCCCAATTAAGGTTGTAATACATACTTTAAGAGAACTTTTTATATGTAAAATTACAATTCTGAACATATTCTAATTCAAATATTATTATTAATTTAAAAGTTAAATAATAATTGTCCTATCATATAAAATATATTCTTAAAAATAATTTTATTAAGAAATATTGATTTTTTACTCTTCTGAAAAATTATACTATTTTTCACAAGATATTAAATTAAAAAAAATAAAAATCATATGATTTTATTTACTATATATATGTATGAGAAGTGTAAATGATTTGTTTTAATGAATGTAAATTATTTGTTATTTATCTTTGTTGTTTATGACTTTAAATTGTTATGATTATGTGTAGATTTTTTTTAGTATGTAGTTAGGTATAAAGAAATATAAATGAAAAGAAAAAATTTAAATCACATTGAATACAATAATGACAAATCTAATAATGAAAGAAATAAAGAAAGTTAGTTTTAGAAAAAAATGTGATATCAAATTATTTTTATACCTTTTCATTATTTTTTTCAATTTTATAATGTATTTAATCTGTAGATTATTATTTAAGAAATTTATTATCTAAGAAATAAAATTAATAATTGTTATTATTTGCAGAAAATTATTTAAGTTATGATTGCAGAAATCATATAATATTAAAATGTTAATATTAAAATGTAAATAATTAAAAAGTATTAAATTTTTAATCATTAATATTCCTAATACTCCTACAATTTTATATACTTATTTTTTCATAACTATTTATTGTATATTTAATTATAATTTTTATTTATTTGTTTGAATTAAAATATAATCAAGAAATTTTGATATTATTTAATTAGAAAAGATATTCTTATTATCATCATTAAAATAAATTTTAAAATTTTAAAGAAAAATATTTTTATCATGTAAATACTAATAGATGCCTTGGTAATGAATTCAGAAACTTAATATGTATATGAAAACAAAATAGTTTGAATATTTACCGCGAGTAACATAAATATGTGCATTATAGGGATTTCCTATTCCATAATCGATGATGCATACAATTGCATCACGAATTTTTTTAAGAAATTTAAAATAAAAAAATTTTTTTTAAGTATTTTTTCTCTTGCATGTCTAATTCAAGTATTGAAGTTTGACAAGTGTGTACAGTCATATTGAATTTTGTTGCATTTTTTCGCCGTTTTAACCTTTTCTTATAGTTATTAAAAAGTTGATATCTGTCATTGAGAACTGCTTTCGATTTTTGTTGCCGCATTGAAATTTCAATATAATGTGTTAATGTAATAAGTACATTTTATTTCAATAATGCATATAATAATGCATTTTATTTCATGATATATACAATTTTTTTATATTTATTAAAATTTGCAAAATGAATACGTAATAATAATAAAAATGAAATAATTATTATCATATATATATATATATATATATATATATATATA